CATGGGCCAGTTGCCGGTGCTGTAGCATTGCCGACGCGCAGATCTGTCCCTGAGCTGTCGGCGCCGCTCAGAGCTCGGGCTGCGGAGCTGAGTGGCTGTGGTGCAGCCTGTGGCTCAGAAACCTCAAGTGTTTACTCTCTGGCCCTTTAAGGAAATGTTTGCAGATTCCACACTTCAAGGAAATAAATGAATTAAAATAAATGAAAGAGCTAAGCTTGAAGTAGTCAGGAACAACATGGACAAGAGAGAAAATCATGCAAGACATTGAAGCCACATTAGAAAGAAAATGCTAAGTAAATGTTATTAGAAACAATCAGAGGAACAAGCAAAAGAAAATCAGATAAAAACATACGGAAAAGAACAAGCGTGAGTGTGACCAGGCAACAGGTAACAGACCTGAACACAGAGGAGAGATGCACCACGTGCATAATCGGTGTGCCTGGGAAAACAGAGATGAAATATCCTCGGAGACCAGTGGAGAAATGGCTGTGTTACCGGGCTCTGCGTGTGCAGAGAGCAGACAGTGTTCCAGAAAAACGGGGTCAGTGTGACTCCCGGAGCACTTGGGTGACCAGGCTGCCATTCCCCCGCCTCCGACCTCGCAGGCCTGTGGGTGTGGCTGGAACAAAGGCCAGGGCAGGGCAGGCGCTGGCCCGGCCCATTTCAGAGCGTCTGTACCAGCGCTGAAAGACACGTTCATAGAGAGAGCTAGAGGGCCTTCTAAGTTTGTTCCATTATTTGTGGTGTTTTTTAAAATTTATGATCTAATGATTTTTTTCCTGTCTAGTAAGTTTGTATCTTTAAAATGTCTAAAAGGCCCTTAATCAAAGGACTCCACAAGCCTCAGTCTTTTTGCCCATGAAGAAATTACTAGACTGAGGTTTTGATTTTATGCCGAATGATTCTCCCAATATAGTTGTATTTGTAAGTTGTATTTGCTCCCCAACTATGTCAGAGTAAGCGGTGCTCCCCGGCCCTGGGGTAGCCCTCCAGTCTCCCCCTGTGGGTCCCACAAACGTAAGACCCAGCCTCATGCAGGACTCCTCAAAGTCCTGATTCAAGCTAAGAACACCAGGCTGTTATGGAGACAGCTACTGAATGAGCTTAAAGAAAATGCTTGTGACTGGTTCCACACTTAGAACACTTTCTGGGGAGTTTTATCTCCATTTGTTCAAACGCCTCTGGTTTTTATTAGAAATAGTACGTTGACTTTCTCCCCTATTTTATGTGTATGTGTGTATGTATATGTATACATGCATGTGTATTTGTAGGTATGTGTGTGTGTTTAGACCATTTCCATGACGGTAGCCCAGGCAGCACCCGACACGAGTGCAGGGCTGAAATGGCAGCGGTCCACTGGACATAGTTAAACATAACCTTGATTAACACATCTCGTTATTCATGGATGACAGCTCGGTTAATAAGTGTCTGTGGTTGGATGCCGAGCCGGAGGTTAACGGCAAGGTGGGCGCAGTCGTCGATCCCAGGTTTTGAAGACAAACACACCCGGTGCTCTGGAGGGCATGTGCGGAATCGGGCCGCCGGCCAGCTGCGCGACGCACTCTGGCTGTTCTCCTCCACTGGTCCTGCTGGGAGCCGCCGAGCCCCGCGCCCGGGGAGGCGGGGCCTCCTCTGCGGGACTTCCGCGTCCGTGACCTGAATGGTCCACAAGCAGGCATGGGAGAGGAGGGCTTTAGGGTTTTTTTTTTCTTTGAAAACTTTTTAAATCAAAGTTTTATTTTGACTTCTCTAATCAGATTTGTAAAAAAGCTAGGTTAATTGTATGGTTACAGGAAAACACACGTCCAAATGGAGTGAATATCTATAACCATCTAGACCTGGCTCTCCGATGTCAGTGATGTGGGTCAGGCCTCCAGGACTCCATGTGCCTTAAAAGCGAGATGAATGTGAGACACAGCTGGACAATGGCAGGGTCCATTTGCCGTCAAGAGATGGTTCTCTGCGGAGGAGTTTCAAGCCTTGGTGCATCCCTGCACTGGCTGTCTTTCCTCCCCGTGGAGTGGGTGAAAAAATGAGAAGCAGGCGAAGTTTTCCTTTGCCGTGGTGATCAGGTCCGAGCGGAGGTGATGAGTGTGTGAGGACGTGGGTACGTCTGTCGTATCCACACGGGGCCCCTCGTGCCTGGAGAGATGGGGCTGGACCCTGACGTCTGAAGCCTGTGTTCTCTGGAGCGTTTCTGCGTCGGAAGCCATAGCCGGATCATGGGTCACTCCTCCTGCCCGTGATCAGGAAGGCGTGTGGAGGTGGACCCTGCTCGGCCAGGTCGCCCGTCCGGGGAGAAGTGGACCAGATTAGCCTGCCCAGCTGTGTGCGGAGGCGGGGCCGTCGCTTCCCACTCAGGGGCCCTCGAGCCGAGCTGGGCGAGCCTCCCCGCCGGCCGCCCACCGCGGATGGGGGCAGAGCGCTGGCCGTGGCCACTCCAGACACGAGCTCACGCGCCTTCTGACCTGGGTATCACCTGGCCTCCATCACTAGCAAAGACCATCCATTATACTCAGTGGAAATTCAGACAAAGCCCTTTCCCTCTGTTAAGACCAGTAAACTGCTCAGGAACAACAAATAAATCTGGAGTTGTATATCCTTTCCCTTCCCCTTCCCAGACTACAGTCTGGGACAGTATGAACTTTACAGGAAATGCCTAGAAGTTGGTGGGTCAGAGGCCATGGACGGTCTGAAGGAAAAGAAGGGGCAGATTCTTGGTGTTCTGCCCAGCAAGAGGGAGAGGCTCCTGGCGACCCCAGGTTCCCGGCAGGGACTAACCCACCCCAGGAGCTGGTACTGGTGCTTCACATGATCTAGCCGCAGCCAGTCACCGTGTTCTCTCCTTTTATTTTTAGCTGTCCTTACTTTCTTTCACATGGTTCAAAATATGATTTTTTTTAAACCATTTGAGCACAACATAGTGTTCAAAAGAAATAAAATAAGCCGAGCAGTCCTGAAAGACCCATTTGAAATGTTATTTTTAGAATGGAAATTTGAGTAAAACACACTTAAGTATATACACTAATCCCTCAGAAAAACGTTCAAATAGAAATTATAGCCAGAAGCATAATTTGATTTTTCCTAAAAACTTTGAAGAAAGCCACAACATGCGCGTGTGTGTGTGTGTGTGTGTGCGTTTGTGCGTGTGCGCGCACTTACGTGCGTGTGCCCCGGCGCTTGTGTGTTTGGGGGGCGTGTGCAGCCACCTCACGATGAAGCCAGCATGCTGGGCCATGGCCCCAGAGAGACCCGGGAGACCCCTGCGTCAGGGTGCAGAGAGAGGGCTCCCAGGAGGAGGAGGGCAGGCCGGCAGGGAGGCTCCTGCGGGACAGACACCAGGAGGCCCCGGCCTCCGCGGGTGCCCACGAGCGGGGCGCCCCCAAGGAGCGGACAGCCAGGGTGTGGGGCCGCAGTCCGACTCTGAGGGGGCCACTGAAGCTCAGGCATCCCAGGCCAGGAGCACCATCGCGATGAAGAGAAGAGCTTGCGTTCTGTGCCTTTTAAAAACCAGTCAAGCTGTATTATTAATATAACTCATGTGAAATGTTTGAAGTGTTACAACTGGGACTTCCCTCCTGCTCCAGTGGCTCTGAGCTCCTAGTGCCGGGGGCTCAGGTTCCATCCTTGGTCAGGAAAGGAGACCCCACATGTCTCAAATAAGACACAGTGTAGCCAAATAAATAAAAATAAGATTTTAAAAAGTCTTGCAGCCGAGTTCATTAACTACAGTACCACATGAAACCGCCGGTCTTCTGCAGTCTGTGACCGTGAACAGAGCCTTCTCCTGCAGGACGACCTCATCCGGCGCCTCACTGCGTCCCTGACCTGGGCTGTCGCCACTGCCCCGCGTTCCGCCACACGAGCCGCAACGCCATGGTGTGTGACATGACCAAAAGTCGAATCTGGTCTAGGACAAAAATATGATTGAAGATGGTCCGGAAGTAAACCCAAAATGCAGAATAGTCTCAAGAAAAAGTTTTGAGTACAGGAGAAATAAGCATGATTGTATTGATTTAGGAGGCTGCCGGAAGTTGAGATGGATAAAGAGGAACTAAAGTTTGCTGACTGCATTTTCTAAAAGAAAATAAGCTGCTCCGTTGACCTCAGAAATGTATTTTTCAGCTTATCTAATGGCAGCCAGGGAGACACCAACCAACAGTTTTCTTTAAATGTGAAAAAAGCAAAAGTTCAGTGAACCAGAGAGTGGGGACTGTGTTCTAGGGGTGCCTATTGCTCTTACCTGCTTTATCTAAAATGGGGGTGCCAGGGCACTCAGGGCCGATGCACTGGACATCTCAGAGGTTTGGGATGGGGAGGGAGTTGGAGGGGGTTCAGGATGGGGACACATGTACACCCGTGTCTGATTCATGTCAATGTATGCCAAAACCCACAATATCGTATAGTAGATAGCCTCCAATTAAAATAAATGAATTTTTAAAAAAAACATAGATGCAAGTGATGAAAAAATTGATTTAAAAAAAATGTATTGAGGTGTGGTTGATTTACGTTTTATTAGATTCAGGTATGCAGCAAGGTGGTTCAGTTACGCACATACCTCTGTGTGTGTGTGTGCGCGCATGCGTGTCTGTGTGCATGCGTGTCTGTGTGCGTGTGCGTGCGTGTGCGCATGTGCATGTGTGTGCGTGCGTGTGTGTGCGTGCATGTGTGTGCATGTGTGTGCGTGTGTGTGTGCGCGCACATGTGTGTGCGTGTGTGTGCATGTGTGCATGTGCGTGTGCGCGTGTGTGGGTGTGTGTGCGTCTGCGTGTGCGTGTGTGGGTGTGCGCGTGCGTGTGTGTGTGCATGTGTGTGTGTGTGTGCGTGTGTGTGCGTATGTGTGTGCGTGTGTGCGTGCGCGTGTGTGTGCGCGCGTGTGTGTGTATCCAGGCTTCCCTGGGGCTCAGTGTGAGGGTCCCTGCTGGGCTGGGGATGTGCCTGGCACGCTGACCGTCCCAGGCGCAGGGAGCAGCTCTCACACACTCCGCCTCTCTCCCCAGGCCATGTGGCTCATGCTGCAGAAGGACGTGCCTGAGGACTTCGTCATCGCCACGGGGGAGGTCCACAGCGTGCGGGAGTTCGTGGAGAAGTCGTTTCTGCACATCGGGAAGACCATTGTGTGAGTACACCCCACGGGCATCCGTCAGGCACGGCTGCCCTTCTGTCTGCCTGCGGTCTGCCTCTCCCTCTGCCCTTCTAGAGCAGGAAGCAGGCGCTTTGTCCTGCTGGCGGTCCCTGTCACATGCAGGTCACCAGCCAAGCTCAGTCTTTCGGAAGTTTATTTTATCTTTTTAATTTTTAAATATGTTTTTAAGCTCTTTAACTTTTAACTTCAAATTTTGTATCATGGTTTATACATGCTTTACTGGGATTTTACTGTCACTAATGCCTCTGAACAATTCAATGTGAAAACGTTATACAATCTCTGTTTGTAATACTTTCACTATATATTTTAAATTTTTGAAACCACAAAAATTTACAGGACAGTTTCAAATATATTACCAGCAAAATCCTTTTCTCTGAAGCACTGAGAGTGGGCTGCTGACCTGAGGCCCCATCCCCGTGGACCTCATCTGTTCTCCCCATGAACAGTGACGCTGTCGAACGTGGGCTCAGGGTGGCCAGGAGATCCCACTAGTACGTGAGCAGCGTCCAGTCCATGGATCTCACTGACATCCTTAGCTCAGCCAGCACTACCCCTTGTACCAGAACAATCCGCCCATTTCATCCACTTGTTGATTACACAAGTTTTGAAGTCAAATTTTTTTGGAAGATTTGGGGCAGTCCGTCACTATAGACGGAAGACTCTTTTCTGGTGACTGTCTTATTGAGGTAGGACATGTATAACATGCATGCATGCTTAGTCTCTCAGTCATGTCTGACTCTGGGACCCCATGGACTGTGGCCCCCCCAGGCTCCTCTGTTCATGGGATTCTCCAGGCAAGAACACTGGAGTGGGTAGCCATGCCCTTCTCCAGGGGATCTTCCCAACCCAGGGGTCGAACCCATGTTTCTTATATCTCCTGCATTGGCAGGTGTGTTCTTTGCCACTAGCACCATCTGGGAAGCCCATAAATAGCATAAAGTTTACCATTCTCATCATTTGGGGGCATGCCAGTCAGCGGCATTAAGTACATTCACAGTTGATGCAACCAACAGCACCACCCACAGAACCCTTTCATCTCCCCAAGCTGAAACTGTCTCCATTAAACACTAGCTCCCCACCCGTCCCCCAGCCCCAGCAATGGAAATTCTGCTTTCGGTCTCTGAGTTGGATGACCTCTGAGTTCCTGCTAAACACGATGACCCCAGGGACCTCGTGTAAGTCGAACGGCACAGTTTCTTTCCTTCTGTGATGGGCTCAGCTCACTGAACTTGATGTCCTCAAGGCCCGTCCCTGTTGTAACTTGCGTCAGCATGTCACTCCTTTCTAAGGCTGAGGAATATTCCACTGTGCGGTTGGCCCACGTGTTGCTTACCTATCTGTTGTAACTGCTGGGTTGCTCCTCGTCAGCTATTGTGAGCTGTGCTGCTGTGAACACACGTATACAGTATCTGAGTCCCTGCTTTCAGTTCTTTGGGGGTAAAAGCCTAAAGAGTGGAATTTCTGGGTCTTATGGTAACTCTGTGTTTAACTTCTTGAGGATCTGCAAAACATTTTCCCAAGGTTCAGTTTTAAAATATAAGAAAGGACTTCTAACTATGATGGAGTAACAGAAATTAGGTTAAACCTCTACCTTGAAAAACTAGGAAACTGTATGAAATTTATAGAACAACTTTGGACAGCAGGCAGTGCAGGACCGTGGGCCCTGGTAGGAAAGGAACCAGCGAGGTGAGCCCTGCACTGACCCGGCCTCCTGGAGGCCTCCACCGGGGAGGGAGGAAGAGGCGCTCTACAGAGAAGACGGAGGTCGGAGCTCAGAGTCTGGGGCTGGGATGGTGTGGATGAGTTCTGGAAAGGTGTGCCCTACAAAGAAAAGGAGCTCCGGAAATGTGCGTCAGGATCCCCCTGAGTTCCTGCTAGACACGAGGAAACGCCACAGGCTTGGATAGGAAACTGCCTGGCGGTGGAACCGAAGGCTTCTCGGGGCGTTCCCGAGGCCGGGAGGCTCGTGAGCCGCAGCCGTCACCAGGCAGCCTCGGCTGTCACCCAGAAGGTCCAGGCTCGGAGGTGGGGTGCCCGGAGTGGGGCGACCCTGAGTAGAGGCCCCTCTAGGGCCAGGCCGGCAGAGCTGACGCACAGACTTCAAGGGCTCACAAGCCACTGAGCCTCCGACCACTGCGAAGCCTGCGCTCTTCAAAGGGAGACAGTGAAATCTAGACCCAGAAACAGACTTCTTTAGCGTTCAGCGTTCAACCAAAAATCAGCAGGGGTGTCACGAAGTGGGAAATGACCTAAAACCAAGGGAAAGATCCATCAACGGAAACAGACTGAGGAATTATAAAGGCAGTGGTATGAGCTCAGAAGGAAGGTAAAGTAGCCTTGACTTTAACTGTCAAGTATATTAAGAAACACATGGGTAGAGTGAGGAGAGATGAAGAAATATATGTGTTTTTTTTAAGAGCCAAATGCAACCTTTAGAGATGAAAAATCAAGTATCTGAAATGAGATCTCACTGTTGGCATTGAGAACAGATTAGACACTGTGGGAGAAAAGCTAGTAAACCTGTACATATTGTGCTAGAAATAATTCAAAATGAAGCACAGGAAGGAAAAGACTGAAGGGAAAAAAACTGAGTTTGATTTGATTAACTTGTGAGACAAAATCAAACAATCTAACATGTATATAATCAGAGTCTTGGGGAAAAAGGGGAGACGGCACAGGACAAGAATTAAATAAAAGCCCCAAGTTTCCCAAATTACTGAAAATACATGCTAAAGAGAAAACTTTAAAAGTAGAATTATGTAGAGGGGAACAAAAGTAAGAAAGCTTTGTTATCAGAAACTATGCAAGGCAAGAAGGCCTTGTAGCAGCATCCTTAAATTGCAGGAAGAGACCTCAGCCTCGAGTTGTGTGCCCGTGGGAACCATCTCGGAAATGCAAGGGCGTTAAAGACTGCAGACAGGCGGAGGTTGGGCGGGTTTGCCCCCAGCAAACATTTAGATGGAGGGAAAACAGAAAAATGAAGAACAGGAGAAGCAGCCAAAATGTGGGGAAATAAAAGTTTTCTCCGTCATTTTAAAATTTCTTTGAAAAGTAACTGACTGTTGAAAGTACAAATAATAGCAGTGCATTGTGGTTTCTGATACATACATAAATAAACTGTGCAATAGCAGTAGCTCTGAGAGTGGGGACAGGATGGGAGCATTGCATCATTACGTTGTTGTAAGATTCTGACACCAGATGGGAATTGGCATGAAATTATTTGAAGACAGACTGCAATTAGTTAAAGTATGTGCTGCACATTCTGGAGAAACTACTAAAACAAAACAAAATGAAAAATAGCCACAAGCCAATACTGGAGTCAAAACGCAATCCTAAAAGCTACTCATCTAAAAGAAGCTGGAAAAGAGGGAGTGAGAACAAATAGCAGATGGGGCTAACGGAAAACAAATACTAACTGTACTGATAATTACATCCACTGTAAATGCCCTAATACTCTAATCAAGAGAGCGATAAAGTTGGACTTGATAAAAGAGCAATATGCTACTGACACGAGACGCATTTTATATGTAAACACATAGATAGTCTAAGAGTAAAAAGATAAAAAAATAAAACATCCAAATACTACCCATAAAGAAACTGGAGTGGCTGTATTTATATGGGATGAAATAGACTTCATTTACTTAGAAGGAAGAAAGAGTCCTTTTGTATTTTAAAGGGGTTGATTCTTCATAAAGACATAATAATTTTAAACGTGTATACACTGAGTTATAGATACTTCAGAATACGGACAGAATTGATAGGAAAAAAGACAAACTTGATGTTTGCGCACTTCAGCACTCCTTCCTCTGTAGCCGCAGCACTAGTGGACAGAGAGTCTTTGCAGAGACAGAAGTAAACTTACTTGACCTAATGGCATTTCTAGAGCTTACCACCTGGCACACTTCTCGATAACTCACAGGTCAAAAGAAGAAATCACAAGGGAAATTAGAATATATTTTGAATTAAATGAAAATGAAAGCAGCATACCAAAATTTGTGGGGTCCTGCCAAAGCAGCGCTTAGAGAGAAGTGTGGCTGTGGACACCGATGTTAAGCGTAAGAAAGAGCCCAAACCAGCTATCCGAGCTTCCATCTTAAGAAGCTTGACAAAGAAGAGCACGTTAAACCCAGTGCAAGCAGAAGGAAGGAAACGACAAAGATGAAAATAGAGATAAATGAAGTAGAAAACAGGAAAATAATGGAGAAAATCATACAACCGAAACGTGGATAAACCTCTACCCAGGAAAAAAAGAGATGACAGGAATTACACATATTAGAAATAAAAGAGTCATCCTCTCCACAAGTCCTGCAGACACTGACAGAATCGGTAAGGAAATACTCTGAACAACTGTTGCCAATGACTTTTTCAAATTAGAGAAAATGGGCGAATTACATGAAAGACACAAACTGCCAAACCTGATTCAAAAAATCTATAAATTTTAGTAATTCTATGTGTATTTAAAAACCTGAATTTTTAACGTTTAAGGAAGAAAACATTCCCTTCCTTCCTAACACTCACTTAGAAGAGAGAACACTTCCTAACTCATTTGATGAGGCCAACATTACCCTGATGCTAAAAATAAAAATGTTACCTGAAAAGAAAGATACTGACTAGTATTTCCAGTGAGCATAGAAACAAAAAATAGTAACAAGATATTAACAAATTTAAGTTATCCATATATAAAAAGCTGGTGCACCACGGCAGAGTGGGGTTTACTCTAGGAATGCAAGGTTGGTTTAACATTTGAAAATTAATGTAATTCACCATATTAAGAAAACAAAAGAGAAGCTGTATTTTTTTTCAATAGAGCAAGAAAAGACATTTGATAAAATTTAACAACTATTACTTTAAAAAATTAATTTCAACACACTAGAATTTGAAGGAAATTTCCTCAAGCTGATAAATGGTCTTTGAGAAAAACCGACAGTTAACATCATAGTTAATGTGGAGATACTGAATGCTTTTCTTCTAAA